GTCACCTAGTTTTTTAATGAGAATGGGGTGAGAGACCATGTCGAATACTTTACAATAGCTAATCCCTAATCTCATCCACGGTTGGGAAATAAAGTGAAATGCAGCATTAGTTTAACATTGCACAGCAATACCATAATGGTTTGGGAGAGGAAGTAAGTAATGTTTAGTTGAAATTGCAGGGAGAGTTTGGATGAACTGAATAGCAGGGCTGTGCAAAATTGCACTGGCCACTTCGACACTGGTTTCAACTCATTTTGAGGTCGAAACAGCAAAATCGAAGCAAAACAAAGGACATCAAAACAGCCTCAAAACAAGGCTAGTCTAAACGTTTCGGCCATAGCACTGGGGATGAGAAGTCAGTCCAGCTGGGCTGCCTCCCCATCCCCCACGCTAGATCACTAGTGCAGGGAATGGGGAGTTTCCCCAGCCCGATGGTTGGGTGAAACGTTGAAACAGCATCAAAACAGCCTCGCTGTCTAGACAAAGCGAAACAGTGAGGTTGTTCTGACTCTAAATGAAATTCAATACAAAACTGTTCCATCCAGATCTTGAAACTGAAGTCAGAACGGAACAATGCCATTTTGCACAGCCCTACTGAATAGCCAAATATCCTGAGGCTAACATTCCCTCTTCTGGGAAGCTACAAATATATGGTCTTTGTCTTACGTAGTCAGAATCTCAATTTCAACTTTGCCTCCAAAAATAGGTAGCCTGAACATGACAGACCTTTATCAGAGGAGATTCTATGATAGGGTGTACTATGCGTGCAAGAGAAAAAGAATCATCCTACCCTTTAAGCTTCTACATGGTAGAAGATACATACATGGAAAGACACTTTAAAAAGCTATCATTTTCTTCCTCTTCAAAAAATCTGCCGCGGGTCAGCAAACCTCCTGACTGTGGATCTGCTGAAACATAATGGAACAGACAGGTTTCTTACGTAGGCAATAATCAAAATAAATTTAAAAAACCTCTCATCTCAAAACAGTTCCTATCTATAGAGACAGATCTGTAGCAGGAAACTTTAAAATGATTCTAGCTAGAAATCTTTACTCCTGGCATTGCAAAGCGTGCATATCCAAAAGTGTTTTAAAAATAGTTCCTTACTGTGGACTTAGATGCCATATAGAGAAGGTAACAGTAACAGGCCAGCCTTAGGGAAGCACATATCCATGTTTACATTTTAGCTTTGCAGAAGACTTGGCTTCATATACTGCTGGACAATATTTTTGCAGGTTAGGGGAACAAACGCAAATATTCATTAAGAACCCAGACCAACTTACAAGAGGAAGATTCTTTCAGCTCTCCAGTTTCCTGATCAGCTTGTGGAACATACTGAACTTCTGGCTTTGACTGAAACAACATGAAAAGTTATAAAAATCCTGTTTTTTTGGCATAAAGTTTCAATCTACCTTAAAAGTGAGGCTGTCCCTCTATGACAGTCATTTACATTTGCAGAATAAATGGAAAGGCATATGCCATTCGTGAAGCTTTATTTTTGCTGTACACATTGCAAATTCAGAACTCTACAAAAAGATGCAAACTTGTCAAAAATTAAGCATGCAGTTCCTTCTTGAAACTGTTTCATTCTTCCGTGTTTGATAGGAGCAGATGATCAACAGTCAGCACTCAGGACATTTAAACATTGTAAGAAGCAGCAAAATATGCACCTGGAATATAACTATTTTGCCATCATCTGCTTGAAGGTAGAAGGTCCATGAGGAAGTAATAAAGCTCTGTGCCGAGTCCATCATGTCACTCCAGATGGATCTCACCAGCGTCAGAGGGAAAAGAAGATGAATTCTTGGCATCAAGGACATCAACTGTAAAAAAGAGCACCATCTGGTTCTCAACTTTTCTTTTTACAGGTAAAAAGCAATTTAACACTGCTCTTTTAAACCAGGTTCTAGTCTATAAAGGATATTTCTCCATCCTTTCACACGTTTGATCAAACTCAACAATCAGCAGAAAATAAGTAGGTGGTATTCAACAAACATGTAAGCTTACTTGCTCTTGTCTCAGTTCAGCAAATGGTAGCTGATTCTGGCACCCAAGATGGCAAGCATATTGTTCATCAGACTGGGAATATGCTTCAGTACAGGCTGCAAGGAAGAAAAAATAATGGATTTAGAAAATAACTTAAAAGTTTTCTTGGTCAGAAACAGAAAACAGTTTTAAGTGCAAGTACAGCTGGGTCAGGGACCTAATGACAGGTTTAAATGCTCCCCCTATCCCACTTGTAGAATGAAGCACAGCAATCTGCCACTTGTGGTACTGGTTCTCTGAACTGAGAAGGGCCAAGTGATCAAATCTAAACAGGCACAGAACAGTGGGTCTAGCACAGCACTTGAGAACAAAAATGTGAAAGGCAAAAACCAAAATAAAACAGCAACATCTAAGACTGAAATAGCAAATTCCACACCAGGATGAGGCTTGGTGTGCTAAGTGGTCAGGCCCTGAATGAGACAAGGAACAATTTATGGGCCTGAGTTTTGACCAACCTTGGCTAATGTGATTTTCCCACATTTAGAAGATTCTGAATTTTGTTCTGGGAGATTGAGCCGAGATCTTGGAAGGAACCAACCGACTCTCTTGAGACTGGATTGAGCACATCAGCCACTGGGTGTGTCACAAAGCACACAGTCTCCACCAGTCAAGTGTACAGATGCAATCTAACAGATGACTGCATGTAAAATAAGCAGGATGTGGTATTCCAGGGCAGTGCAGCTGGACAAGAGAGGAAGCAATTGTGCAGAATCATCACCACACTGAAGCTATTGCTGCACTACCCCTGTTTATGATATACGTCTTCATGTGTGGTTTGGCAAGTGACAAGGCCTGCCTGGATCACATATGCATACAGTAGACTCTTTCCTCTACAGCTTTAGTCCACATCTAGCACCTTTAACAGTTCTGAATTGAATTAGCATTTCTGTATGCTAGTTTTCTTACCCAGATGCCTTTCCTCAACCCCATCTCTTCTCAGAGCTGGCCACTAGCGTGCTGAAGAAAGACAGTGCATCATATAGATAAGGCATAGCCACTTTTCAGTACTGAGTTGGCTCTTAGTTGCATCTGGAATATGCTGGGAGAACTGCTACCTATCCTGCTGTGTGTGGTGATGCCACATTTTCAGTCATCCTTATACAGAGCTTAAATGTTTATCAATTGCTCAAAAGATCCTTGGCTGCAAGTACTATGCAATAATATACTAGCTTTTTAGGTAGTGTGCAAGACAAGTATTTTCATAGCTTTGACTTCTAACATTTCTACCAGTAATATTGAATAGTTGTCGTCTAATGGCTTAATTCAAACAAAGAGAGTAGGTAGCTGCATTAGGATTAAGTCAAGTAGAAGGAAGAGTGGATTTGCAGCTTATAGACTAAGTAAAATAGACCAATAAGATGCAAATATACCTCGCCTTTTAATTCAAACAAGACATATGCTCAGCTCCCAGGCTTTTAGCTACATGTTAACCAGAGAAAGCAGTCAAGAGCCTCTTCCTCTTCCCACAGTAAGCAGACTAGATAGTATTCATTCAGCTAAAATTTACAAAGTGATGTAGAGTATAGTATACCCAGACTTGTTTTTCCTTCAGCTGAAGTGTTGCTTTACAAATAAAAGCTATATTATGCAGAGAAGTTGTTAGAGACCTGGAAAAGAAAGTTAGTCTAGAAGGAAACTTGAGGGGAAGGAGTTAATAAATCTACACATACACAACAGATTGTTAAAGAAGATGGGGAACAATTACTCTTTTTTGTCTACAGGGGACAGGCTTAGAAGGAATGGGCTCAAATTGCAGGGAGGGAGATTTATATTAGATATTAAGAAAATCTTTCCAACCATGAGGGTGGCTAGTCAGCAGAACAGATACCTAGAGAGGTTGTGGAATCTCCATCACAGGACGTTCATGTTTTTTGAAACAAACATCTGTCTGGGATGGCTAAGAGAGGGACGAGTCTGCCAGGAGAGGAGAGAGCCGGGCTGGGCTGGGCATGTGCACATTAGATTGAATCCCTCTTGAGAACACCTTCCAGCCCTATTTTTCTATGATGCTCTGAAGCATGACCAAGACTGCATGGAACAATTAAACAGGGAGACCTTGAAAAACTATATGGTTTGTTTAACCATTCTACATATGGTCAAACAAACTGCTAAGGTTACACCACTTAACAATTCTGCCATAAATAAATAAATAAATAAATAAATACATTTTCAGCTCACTTTCTGCATCTGATGATATTTAAGACATACCAGGAAACTGAAGTACCAGTCAAAGAGTATCCACTTGTATAAAACACAAAGGCCTTTCTAGCCATCTGCAGTGAAGCATAAAAGCCCTTATATTAAGTAATTTTGAAAGGTTTTTCTATCAATCAAACTTATACAAACTGAAACAAATCAAGTTTCCTGTGGATTTCCATTCTTCTTCCAATATGTCTCTTTACATTACCTCTTCAGGAGAGAAAGCATTGAATTCTTACCGGAGTCGCATTCCAATTTGGTCCGATTCAAATCAATTCCATCATCCACGAACTGACAAATGGAAAACAGTCTGCAGCCTCGCTGACAAGCATACAGTTCCTCTTCCTGGGAAATTACAAGGCAAGGGTTGCCAGACAAAGAAAATCACTATTAATACTCCACCCAAGGAGAGAGTACTAAGAGGCAAACATTACTATTTTTCTGAATACTAAAAAAAAAAAGCCACCTTGTAAAACCTTCTGCCAAGAACACCAGAAGCTCGACAAACACCAAGCTCTGTAGAGTCTTACAGTTCTTTAACAGGACTGTCTAACTTCGATGTTGATTACTCTATTGCAAGCACATGGATTTCTTTATTCCAAAGCAGAGCAAGCCTTGAAGAGACCTGTTTTGCACGTGCCACCTCACAGCACCAAAGCCAGATGTGCTAAGATGCATTGGTAACAAGGATGACAGTTTTAAAAATAAAGAGCAGGTGCTAAAGACTGGCAGACCCTATCAGCTTTCACATAACCACACAAGAGACTGACATTCCTCCTCTCTCCATAAAGATTTAGTAGCAGAGTGTTACAGCTTGGAGTCAGAATGAAGACAGCATGAAGACGGCATGACTTTGACACAATTTAGCAGGCCACTTGTTTAGGATACAATAGAAACAAAGGTAAAATTGTCAAAATAAGCAAACAGCACATTTTGTAGTGCACTATTCCTGATTCACAGCTGGTCACTTATTTGCCAAATGAGCCAGAAAACATTTAATAATCATTGCATTGTGGGGAACAGCATCCTTATAGAGGTTAAAGAACCAAGATATAACAAGTGTGTAAGTATGTCCAATACTTCTTCTATACACGGTACCAAGGGAAAAGATGTTTCAGCAGTGAGGACACTAGTCCAAGACTTAAATTCATCTCTCTGCTCCACTGCACACTATGTGATCTATGCAAGTCGCTTTGCATTTCTGTACCGCTGTATGTCAGATGGGGATAAGAGCACTTTCCTATCTCACAGGGCACTGGGAAGACACCACCCAGTACAGGATGGGAGGTGCTCATACTTTAGTCTTGGAAGTTATAAGAATCTAAGAGAGATTTATACACAATTATAAGATATGAAGAATAAGAAAGATAGAGACAGAGTTAGATTGTAAGCTCCACAAGCCACAAGGCCATCTCTCACTCTTTCTACAGTATCCCAATCAGGACTGGACCCTCTGTGGGCTACTATAATAAAACGTGACAATGCTTCCTTATTTAAAAGAGTGCTACAAATTATTACTTTCTTCGGAAAATGGTTTTAATACTAGCAGTACCATGTGACAGAGGAATGAGGCCTTTAAGCATAAGTTCATTTGGGGGTTTACATAAACATGAAAGCTGCACTATTTTAATACCACCCTACAGTGTTGTTGACATTAATATCATTTCTTCCCCGGCAGGGAAGGGAAAACCTATATTATTATGAGGAATCTACATTGGTCTAGCCATATTTGGAAGTCTATCAACATAACACTAATGTTAAAAAAAAAAAACACCCCCAAAACCTCTCCCCTAATTGGAATTGTTCTATACACACAAGACTGCATCTAAGTTAGACTTCTGTACTTTTCAAATGTGCTTTTCTCCTTGGGATTTTAAAAGCTCTGTTGTTTAGAAACTAAGAAAGCAATAACAAAGCCTACAGAACAGCCCAGACTGCAGAGCTTAAAAAAGAAAGAAAAAAAGCACTCTCTTGCATTTGATATCATGTGAATCTGTTAAAAGGAACTCAAGAACTGAGTCTAGTGGAACTGTATTTGTCCTTATGACTGTTACCATCTGCTTCACAGGGGGAGAAAAAAGGACTTCGAATTAATCTAACAGAGCAAATACAACCCAACCACACAATCACTGCAAATAAACTGCAGCTTGGTACTGTATAATTCAGATGCAACAACATAAGAGAACAGAGGTCTAAAAGTAGGTTTGTTTTTCAAAACTCTAATGACCTTGACAGCCTTTCTGACAAAAATCTGCTGTGGCAGGTTGAGAGTCATGCTGCAGTGGCTTTGGCACATACAACACGCAAACAGGGATCTTCCTGACAACTTTAAATTAAAAAAAAAAAAATCTTCCTTTTTAATGAGTTAACCCAAACCATGAATATTTAAAAAAAATATCCTTTCCTACCAGCCTTATTTCAAAATTGGTAGCCTGGTAGCAGTTTGAACAAGTCCTGACCATGGACTGAGTAACAAGGACTTGATGGCAACCTGAAAAGGAACCAAAACTGTGCATCATCTACTGTTTTGTTTTGTTTTGTTTTTAAACCAGGTGATCCTGAAGGGTTATTAATATAAAAGCAAAGGCTAGAAAGACCAGCCTTCTTAAAAAAAAAAAAAAAAAAAGAACCCAACAAACTTGACAGCCCTCACGCAAGGAGGAATCTATGCTCCAGCAAAGGAAGAGGATGTTTGATCTACAGAGAGTATTTGGGGTGGGTTTGCAAAAACCGTTTGGGAATTGAATTATTTTAAGATTAAACTCTGGCCTTTTTTCCCCATTCCTATCATACCTCAGCACAGGGAGTAATTTTGTATCTAAACTTACCTTTAGCCCACACAAGTACCTGCAGCTCCCACTCTCTGTTGAAGTATTTACAAGTTACTGACTCACAAAACCAAATTATGTAAATGCCTATCTTTTTTTATAAAAAAGTCCACACTGCCAAGCACCCTGCCTTGCTCCTGCCATCATGTTCACTTGGTGTCTGTCCACCTCCCATTCTAAGCTCAACCTTTGCAGGGCTGCAGAGACTAAGCAAAATTAAGACAGACAAGGATTTGAAATGAGTAACAAGTTTTGCAAAACCAAATGATTGCTCACAACTCCAAGGCCTGAACTGATACTGGACTTCAAGGCAAAGGATGATAATTCCTCTTTGCTCTTTTTCTACGTGTGCTTCCATACAGTACAAGCTGTCAAAAACTAGTGCAGCACGTGAAGTGTTGTGGGGATGCTCATTTCCCAATTTTAAGACTTCTCTTCCAATGTTCAAATGCCATATTCATGACATGATTCAGAGCTTCTTCTTCTCATCAACAAAGACATTAATGCAAGAGCTAAGAATTGCCATTTACTGGGTCGGACCATAGGTCCATTTTGTCCACCACACTGGGGCAGAGAACGGCTGCTGAAAGGCAGAGTGAATTGGGTACAATCTGAGTTTTTTCCCCCCCAGTTCCCCTCATTTGCAGCCTCCAGCATTCAAGGTTTAGGAAGTTCCAATTGAAAAACCATCACAACATCAGGTGGCAACAAGCGCCACACCTGAATTACACATTATACCGCTCCTGCACCTTTTCAAATGCCTACAAGATGTGGCAGACAAAGCTGTTTAGGCAGATGTGACAGCTTTTAATAGACCAACCGAGTAGCTGGAGAAAAAGTTCTTCGCAAGCTTATGGGCGCAATCACCCTTCTGCAGGTGACTGTGCTGGAAAGCTTGCAAAAAACTTTTCTCCAATTACAGGCAGTCCTCGATTTCCAACGTTGAGTTACAACATTTATAAATTGACACCCTGCTTCAACTTTAAGACATCAGTTTCGACTTTACAACGCTTGATCTGATGCAACGCCACACCAGCAAACAAGTTTGCTGTGTCACCCATATCCCTGGAGAACATCTGTCCAAACATCCTTGGACACGTTCTTTAAGAAAGCGGACGAGACTCCAGAAAACCCTGCAGCCAGGACCTCCTGAGAAGACTCCAGCCAAGAGCCCTGCAAAAAGTCCAGCAAAGTCACCTCAAGGAAGTCCTTCCAAACCAATAGGATTGCTATTTACAATATAAATACATTAATATAGCTATATTATTCATCTATAATTGACAGAGTACAAAATTCTGGGTTATTTTTGGTGAAAGTAGGGTATTGAGCCTTGGTTCAGGAATGAACCCCCCATTTATAACATCGTTTCCTATGACAAAAATCGGTTCCGAGTTATGACATTTTGACTTAAGACGCAGTTTTCAGGAACCAATTGTGGCATAAGTCTGAGGGCTGCCTGTACTCAGTTGGTTTAATAAAAGATACCTCATCTACCCAAAGAAATGTGCCTGCCTATATCCTTAGACCAACACTGTTACAACCAAAAACCCCACACCCTAATAAAACCTATTGCATCCACCCAAAGAACCGTGCCTGCCTATATCTTTACATCAACACAGTGACAACCAAAAACCCAGCTATGAGACATGGAGCCGCCCGATTAAGCTGAGACAGCCTCTTGAGAGAAAAGGGGGGAAAATGCAGGACGCAAGGCCACCTGCCCATTGGCACCTCAATGTATTGCACGCAACCAGATTTTTAAAAACAGTGGCCTGCCTTTAGCTCCCCTCCCCTTCCCCGAGAAGCGGCGTTTTTGCGGAGGAGGGCATCCTAGTCAACATCTGGGCGAGACACAACAGGACACAAATGCAGCCGAGCGGCCACAGCTGCAAAGGCCACACAAGACAGGCACGAGGAGCGCGGTGGTCCTGGCAGCCCCTGCACTTCTTTTTGGGGCCGGACACGGCGATCCTGCGAGGTCCCTCACGTCTAGGCAATAAAAGAGGGCACGGGTGGCTTGGGAAGACACTGGAGAGAGTGTGTGTGTGGGGGGTGAGGACTGAGGACAAGACAAGGGGTTGGAGCAGCCCCACCAAAACAAAGAGGCGGGGCAGGCCGCGCAGGGGGGAGCTGCAAGCAGCAGGGCCTGGGCGACGCAGGGAGGGAGGGATGGGCCCAGCCCCGGGGCAGGGCCGGGACGCGGCGGAGGGAGCCGCCCTACCTTGGGGTAGGTGTGCAGGGGATAGGTGAGCTG